CATTAAATTATGAGTATATTTCTTGAGATTATATTTAACATTACATTATATTTAATTATATTTATATTCCGTTGTATTTAAACTGTTATACAATCCTACCTTATATGAATTTTATGTGTTTTCATATTTTGTGTTAAAGTATGTACTTTAGGCATTTTAGAGCTAGAAAGGAGCTATAATTCCCGGAGATACTGCTTATTAACTTGTGACTGTGAACAATTCATTTAATTTTTTTTTCCATCTGTAAAGTTAGGGATAATAATAGGATTTAAACTATAGAGTCATTGTGAAGACTAAGAAAATAATACATAAGAAACACCTATCCTGACACACAGTTAAAAGTACTCAATATATAGCAGCTCTTTCATAAACAATTAAGCTAAATCCAAGTAGGTCAAGAGGCAAGGCCAAGGTCACACAGACTAGCAAGTGCTGTTGATTGCCTTACCCAACATTCATTCTCCCTATCTTCCTTGCTAACAGAACCTACTATGTGTTAGATGCTTTTTATATATAATATTTCTAATCCTTATAACTGATGGGAGAGATGTCCCCCTTTTATGAGTGAGGAAACCAAGAATCAGAGAAGTAAAAAGACTTGCTGGATACATACAGCTACAAAGTGCAAAGTCAAGATTCAGGCCTAGATCTTTTTTTGTTCAAAAATGTATGCTTTTGCCTCTGTGCCATGCCTTCTTGGAACTTGTTCTTATGCCCTATCATGATGTGATTAGTTAAATAGCTTATCTATTTTTTAATGTATCACACTTCATGTGATGTGTATTTTACAGGTGATTTTAGATGAGACAAATGTATGGAAGAACAAGGACCTTCTCTTTGGTCATGTCCAGTAGTCCAATGGAGTATCGTTCACAGTTGAGATATGTTCTAACTGTGTAGAGGGCTTTGTGAAACTGTCGCTCAACATCTGTGAGCTCTTCAAATACTTTATTGGCTGACCAAATAAGGATCTGAAAATAGGTATTAAAAAGAAAACAATTAGAACAAAATGCACAATGAAGAGACAGAACAACACAACGAAGTGATAGAGCATTACCCAAAAGAAAACATGAGGTGCATCAAATAAAGTGAATACATATTCTAACACTAGTCCTAAATAAAATTCCATTTTGAACATGTATATATCCAACAAACCACTCAGATTATCTAAGTGAGATGATTTAGACAGACCATTGCAAGCCTGTTGGTGAAGGGGGAGAAGAAGCTGTGATTGGTCCCCAGGTCCAGATGTTTTGGCTCCAAATGGGAAGTTCCAGGAAATGGATGCAGAGACAGCCCCTGGGCAAGGGTCCAGTACTGGTGGCCGACTGGCTCCTGTTGGCCCTCATGGGGAGAATGTTACATGCCTCCTTCCATGCATCCTGGGCTAAACCCATTACCATCAAGTCTTTTCTGACTCATAGCACAGACTAGAACTGCACCGTAGGGTTTCCAAGGCTGTAATCTTTACAGCAGCAGACTGCCACATCTCTCCCCTGCAGAGCAGTGGTGGGCTTGAACCGCCAACTTTTCAGTTAGCAGCCAAGCGCTTTCACCACTGTACTATAAGCTCTCCTGTCCTTGGCTAGTCAGAGGTAAATTTACCTTGAGAGGAGTTAGAATGGAAAGGGACCTTGGAAGTCCTCCATCACACTCCCCCTCCCCCCCGCCCACTGTACTGAAGAGGAAACTCAGGTCCAGAGAGTGGTCCAGAGTTGGGTATCCTTGACTACCAACCCTGTGTTCTTTATCCCTCTGCCCTGTGGAGGCAATGGACCTCAGAGGAGTGACTTTCTCCTCAAATTAATAACTTTACTACGTACCAGGAACTGCTAAGCATTTTATGTGAGCTAATTCATTTAATCACCATTTAATAGTCACAAGAACCATGTGAGGTAGGTACTATTATTATCATCACTCTTACAGATGAAGAAATCAAAGCCAGGGCATACACTGAAGAAAGCCAAGCCAGTTGGACATACAGATGGAGTAACTGGCCCCATAAGTAGTGGAATTTCAGGGGCTTACCTACCCACCTCATGCATATCAGTGTTTGCAATTAATTCCTGAGACCAATTGTTTCATTCGACAATGATTGAGCATGAAGTGAAAATTAGCCTGACATCAGATCCTTTTGTGAAAGAGGAATTGGATGGAGGAGGGGAGGAGACTGTGAGAGGACCCCTGGGACTCAAAGTTGGGGGATCTACTCCATGTGGCTCAAACCACCATGAGGGCAGAGGAGGGGTCTGGGTTTGTGGCCTCTGGACCCTTTGGCAGAACAGGTCAGTGCAGGGTGATTAACATCACCTTCCCTTTACCTGGCTTCTTCGGGATTCAACACTGTAGAGGTAGTTGGTATGATGCAGTTTTAGGACGATAGAAATAAAACTGAGATATTTGGAAAAGACCTACAGATGGCAGAGAAAAGTAAATTATGATTGTGACATCATTCCTTCCATTATACAAAGAAATAAAATTCCTGCATCTCCGGGTAGAGGCCCAGGGTTGGCATTACCTCTTCATCCTGTTTGGAAAATTCAGATGCGTTTACTTTGTTAAGTGCCATAACTACAGCAAGAACCTCCTTGCCCATCAGGATTGGGGTTGCCAGCAGGTTTCTAGTGGTATATCCAGTCTGCTTGTCCATGAAGTCCGAAAAATGGCTGTTCTGAAAGAAACATTCTCACATTTGCCAAAGCAGCACAGGACCGCAGGATGACAGACCCAGGAGTGGTGACAGATCATTCTTGAGTTCCCACACACTATGGACAGATTAGCCCAGCACAACAGTCCCACCCCACTCCACCGTTCCGTGACCAAGAAAATGTGTGATGCTAAGAGAACCACATGCATTCTCGCACCCCAGATCTCCTCTATGCCATTCCCAAGGTGGACACACACAACCAGCTATCAGGAGGCAGCATCGAATAATGGTTAAGAAGGTTCTGGAATCAGACTTCCTGGGCCAAAACTGGGCCCCAACTTTACTGTGTGAAACTCAGGATATTACTTACTCTTTTTGTGTTCTCATTTTCTAATCTGAAAATGGGGATAATCATAGTATACTTGATTTGAAGGTGGGTAGAGCATCTAGAAAAATGTCTGGCACACAGTGAGTGTTCAATAAATACTGGGAAGAGAAACCTGGGATGTTTTGGGGGGACTCCCTGAATAAGAAGTAGTTCTCTCTCTCTCTCTCTCTTTTCTTTTATGGTGGTTAAAGTGTATACTACAAAACATTTGCCATCTTAACCATTTTTAAGTGTATGATTCAGTGAGAAGTAGTTCTCTTTAACAAGTGCCATTCTGCTCCTAAGTTCTAGGTTTTCTAGTCAATTCTATCACTGAAGAATGTGGACACCTTTATCCTATGCCCAGGAGGACCCTTCCTCCTGAGGGCCAGTACTCTGTCCCACACCCTCAAAAGTCACATTTCTTTCCTGATGATTTTTTCTGTTACTCCTGCTCTGCTTCCTGTAGCACCCCCACCCTCAGTCCCGGATGTCTCCAGAATTCCTTAGGTTTTTTTCTCTTAATCCATTGCTTGCCTAGGGCAGCTCGCATTCTGCTTTCCTCCTAACCTATTATCCATTACATGTCATAATCACCTTCATTTACACAGCAATCCTAGGCATTAAAGGAATAATCAAAATACCAGAAACATACACCATGGAATGAAGCCAGTCAGCATTTCTTTGCAAACACATTTCACTCTGCAGCTTCAAAACTTGATGCCAACTTTATTCCAGATTCTAAACACAAGGAAAAGTTCTTAAGTTAAATTGGCTGTTTTGAGAACATAAATTATCAGTTTCAAAATTTAATGCTTGCTTTTTCCTTGCATCTGAAAGCCCTGTCAAATTACAGGGCAGAGGAGTTGACAGGAACATGGGGAGGTGGAGTTTTCTAGTTTTCCGTTTTGAATTTTCACTAGAGCAAATAATCCTTACTGAAGTTTCTTTGAGTCAATCCTATGTTTCCCAGGCTCCTCCCAAGGTCCTTCTTCAAAAAAGCCCCTGAATGTGGCTGCTAAAATATGTAGAGTAGCAAGACGCCTGGATGCCTCATCCTGTCTCAGATTTGCTAAATCCTGATTAAACACCGCTAACCCTTGAGATCAGGAGGCAGAAAGAGAGGAGGGAAGGGAGTAAGAAGAGGGAAGAAGAGGAGCTATCAGGACCCAGTCAATTATTGAACACTTAGGCTTGCTATTAAACCACAGCCAGAATCAGGACCACCCATACAGTTAACCGACAGCTTTCCCAATTGAAAAAGAACTAACTTGAATATCTCTCAGTTTCCTGTTAGTAAAAGTTTTCCTGCCTTTAGCCATAAAGAAAAATGAATTCCCAAAACATATTGCAACGTGGATGAACTTGGAGGACATTATGCTGAGCAAACTAAGTCAATCACAAAAGGACAACTATTATATGATCTCCTTTTTATAAAATGACAAGAATAAGCATATATACCCCCCAAAACCCCAAACCTATTGCCACTGAGTCAATTCCGACTCATAGTGACCTTATAGGACAGAGTAGAACTGCCCCATAGGGTTTCCAACGAGCGGCTGGTGGATTCAAACTGCTGCCTTTTTGGTTAGCAGCCAAGCTCTTAACCAGTTTGCCACCAGGGCTATATATCCAAAGACAAATTCATTAGTGGTTACCAAGGGGCGGGGAGGGAAGAGAATCATTCTCCAGTTAGTAGTCACTTTTTGTTTATGGTGATGGGAGAGGTAGCACTGAATATGGGTGAAGTATGCATAGCTTGACTAATGTAATTAATGCCCCTAAGTTGTACACAAGAAAAGGATGTATTGGTAAAAGCTATTTTATATATAATTTTGCAACAACAACCAAGAAAAATGTAGATAGATGATAGATAGACAGATAGGTAGGTAGATAGATAGATAGATAAGTGATAGATAATAAAACAAATAGGGGTTATAGATGCTGATACTTCTTAGACATAACCAATCACCTCATGGGATTAATTTTCTTGGTTTGAAGATTTAGGGTCATAGTCTCATGGGACAATTCAGCCAACTGGCATAATATAGTTCATAAAGTTTATGCTCTAGATCTTAGTTTAGTGAATAGTATGTGGGGTCTTAAAAGCTTGCAAGCAGCCAGCTAAGATACAACTATTGGTCTCTATTCATCTGGAGCAAAAGAGAAAGAAGGAAACCCAAGAATCAGAGAAAAAAATGGACTACAGGACCAATTGTCTCCATGAACCAAACCAGAGGAACTAGATTGTGCCCAGCTACCACAACCGAATGTTCTGATCAGGGACGCAATAGATGGATCCTGATAGAAAGGGAGAAAAGTATAGAACAGAACTTCAAATTCTCAAAGAATTTAGAATTACTGGACCTATTGGGACTAGAGGAGTCCTTGAGACTATTGCCCTGATATACTCTTTAAACCGTGAACTGAAACTATCCCCTGAAGTTACCCTTTAACTACTAAACAGAAGGTTAGCGCAAAAAGTAAAGAATGTCACCCTTGAGTACTGAGCTAATTTTAAAAAATTATCTGTATGAGACTAAATGGTCAACAGTTACTCTAACGCATAGACAGATGAGAAGGTTGGGGGGCAGTGAGAGTAAGTTAATGGGAATGGAACAACTAGGACAGAAATAATGAGAATGTTGACACAACGTGAAGAATGTATCCAATGTCACTGAATGTTGTGTGTAGAAATTGTTGAATGAGAACCTGTTTTGCTGTGTATACATTCACCAAAAATACAATAAAATATTTTTTAAAAAAGTTTTCCTCCCTTTAACTTGTCTTAAAAACAAGCAATAATCATTGGGCTTTTTTCTGCTGCCCACTCCCAGCCCCCAAGCCTCCCTCAGCATGACAATAATGGTGTCACCATAGCTATCATTTATCGTGCACCTACTTTGAGCCATGCCCGTTATGTACATTTTATCTGTGCATATGGTTCTCTCCATTTCTCAGGTGCAGACACTCAATCCATCACACAGCTACCAAGTCTCAGACCTGGATCTGCACCCAGGTCTGGCTAATAGCAAAGCCCTCACCCTACATCATGTGGCTTCCTTTTTTCCACCACCATGGACTCCCAAGATCAGGGGTATCAGTCTCTGCAACTTTGTCTAGATGCGAGAAGTCTTTCCCTTACCTGTGCCTCTACTGCTAGCCAGAGAGAAGCCGTGCGTGGTCCGTGGTGTGGTACAAAGAGGGAGAACTCAGAAGGCCCAGGTTAGGGTACAAGACCTGCCACTTCCTGCCTTAACTGACCTTGGGCAGATTCCTTCATACAGAGGATGGCAATAAGGATGTGGTCTCAAAGCCTTCTTCCCTGCTTTGTCAGAATCAAGTAAGATTGAGAAATCAGTTACCAGCAAGTCGGTTCTGACTCATGACAACACCACGTGTGTCAGAGTAGAACTGCCCTCCATAGGGTTTTCAAACGCTGATTTTTTGAAAGTAGATTGCCAGGCTTTTTCTCTGAGGCTCCTTTGGGTAGACTCCAACCTTTCAGTTAGCAGCCAAATACATTAACCACCTAGGAACTCCAAGAAAGTGCTTTATAAATTGTGAAGCACAATGAAAAGGTGAACTAATCAGAAATTTCATTTAAACATGGGTTTCTGCCTTCATTGAAGTTTGACAGCAGCTACTAATGAGTGCCAACACCGCAAGAAAAGTGGGGTGAGATGGAAAGAGCGGTGGGCGGGAGTCAAGCAGCCTTGAGTCTATTCCAGGCCTTCTCATTTGCTGACCCGTACCACGGGCTCTGGGGGAGAAACACAATCCCTCAGCATCCTCAGTATCTCTCTGCCAAAGGAAAGAGTGAGACTGAATGATTTCTAAGCCTTTCCATCTCTAGTATTCCACAGTGTATTTGAAATTCACTTCCTCCTGCTACGTCTGCTCACGCTCTGGACCAGTGGTTTCCAGCCTTGGCGGCATGTCAGAATCACTTGAGGGAGCTTTGATAACCTGATGCCTAAGTCCCAACCTCCGAAACTGTGGTGTGATTGGTCCATTGAGAATGTCAGGCATCAGTTTTGCTGTTTGTTTTTAAACTCCCCCGTTGGATTTTAATGTGTAGCCAGGATTGAAAACCACCACTCTAAGAGTCCCTGGTTGGTGTAGACGGTTAACACACTCGGCTGCTAACCAAAAGGTTGGTGGTTTGAGTCCAGCCTGACGTGCATTGGAAAAAACGTCTGACAATCTACTTCCAAAAAATCAGCCATTGAAAACACTAGGGAGCACAGTTCTACTCTGACACACACGAGGTTGTCATGAGTTGGGTTGCCATGAGTCAGTGTCAACTCAGGGACAACTAGTTTAAGGGGTAGAAATGGAGAACAAATGAGGTCGTTCATCTCCCCGTCAGAGCTCAGGAGGGTGACTGTCTTCACCAACACACACTTAACCCCCTCTGCCCCACCCAGAGCAGCCAGGAGTCCTCAGGGAGAGATGTGACGCCCCCAAGAACTGCCCTGCCTATCCGGAGATAGGATGCCTTGGATGGGAACAGACCAAGGCCCCAGATCTTTTAAGCAGTTCCATTATATTATTTTCTCCTCAACACGGAGAACTGGGCTCATTAATAATGCATTACAGCAGAAATTCATTTTACCTATCTCTTAAAAAAATCTCAAATACCACTTTTTAAAGTGTTATGTCCTAGTAATTGTGGAGAGGGGCCCAGTTTCAGACTGTCAAGAAACGTATTAGCAAGAGAAGACCTCAGCTTCTGTGGACGTAGCCTTCTAAGGACACCCTTCGGCTTAGTCACCTGAGGTAGCTGCAGTCTGCCTCAAAAGCAAACTGAAACTGGCTTAAAGTCACTTAATAGAGGGTTGTAAAGGACTGAGGACTTGCAGTGACCAGAGCAACCCTTGTACCTGAGGGATGTCCTGTGGTGTTTGCTGAATGTTGCTAATATTTGACAACATCTGCCCCTTCTGGATCTGTGCAGCCCTCCTCCTATAATCAGCTTCAGGAGGCATGTGGGGATTATCCTCCAGCTTCTCCAGCTGCCCTTGTTTGACACTGGGATCCTCCCCTCCTCCCTTATTTAACTCCATACTGTCATGATCCACTTCTCCCCTTTTCTTCATTAAAAAAACCAAACCAGCTGCCATCCAGTCAGCTCTGACTCAAGTGTGTCAGAGTAGAATGGTGCCCCATAGGGTTTTCAGTGGCTGATTTTTCAGAAGTAGATTGCCAGGCCTTTCTTCGAGGCACCTCTGGGTGGACTCAAACTTCCAACCTTTAGGTTAGCAGTCAAACACGTTAACTATTTGCACCACCGAGGGATTCCTTTTTTTTATGGTAAATCACAAACATGGGACATGATGTGTAGAAAAAAGGCTGGAAGGAGAAGCTCTAGGCTGGTACCTGTGGTTATGGCTGAGTGAAGGGATTATGGGTGATTTGCATTTTTCTTCTTTTTTGTTTGTTTGTATTTTATAATTTTTCTAAAATGAACACATCTTTCAGTGGCAAGAAGAAAAAGTTAAACTTTCTACTTTTGAGAGCAAAAACATGCCCTGCATTTATGCAGTGTGCTGTTGATCTTCAAGAAGGTACTCATGATTGAAATTCATTCTTGATAGCTGAGTTACTGGATGGGGGTGGGGGTGGGGGTGGTGAACTTGCACTTAATCATCACCTAAATTCAAATTTTTAATGATCCAAATTTGAACATCTGACCTTTCAAATGGTATCATTTTTCTTTTCGCACACTGGGTCTACAGATGAATCAATTTGTGAGCCAATCCATTCTAAAGAACTGGGTGTCTTCAGAGGGCTGGGAATGAGAGGCGTAGGGAACAGTTTATAAATCTCAGATTCTTGGCATCTTGGCTGATTGCTCCAGTGGGAGGTGGGGGGAGGGACTTGCTTTGCTGGCTTTCAGAAGGGAAGTCCCTCAGAGCCACTAGACTAGGAGGTGTGAGGGAGAAGGGGTGGAATACACCAGGCCCCATAAAATGCAAAACATTCATGGGACATACTTATAATAAAAAAAAAAAAAAAAAATTCATCGTTTATCTGAAATTCAAACTCATCCGAGCATCCTGTATTTTTATTTACTAAGTCTGACATTCCTGGGCCTGGACGCTCTTCCTCCCCATTGTCCCCACACTCCAGGTTATGGCTAAACCAATGTCACAAGATGGCCCCTGGACCACAGCTGTCTTTCCTATGGGTTCTCCTCAACCACACCAAGACCTCTGCTCTGCCCCACTGTCATAAGGTCACCTACCTTTTTCACATCTGGGACATTAAGGGCTTTCTTCGTGTGAGCAACCCAGCCCACAATCCCAATGTCCAGTGGAAACACAGTCTCTTTGTCAGGGACCACCAGGTTGTCCTCAAACTTGGAGGTCGAGGTGACGTTCAGTAGCCTGGAGGCCACCTCCGGCGTGCCATTGCGGGCCCGGCATATGAACATGCTGCAGCGGTCGGCCCACAGTAGCTGGGCCAGCCTCTGCAGGGCCTTGTGCACCACCACCTCCACGCTGCCCGCCTCTTCCTGCACTGTCCGCAGCAGCTCCAAGCACACAGCCGACTCCTCCACCTGGGTTAGCTCAGCGAAGGAGGCACTGTCCTTGATGAACAACGGGCTGTTTTGGAAGATTTCTCCCAGTGCCTCCACTCGCAGCTTCTTGTCAAAGTACTCCTTGGCAAAGCGAGGGTTCTCCTCAAGGTATTTCTCTACAGCCTCTTGGCTGATCTCACCCATGGTGTGGCTTGCTTTGCTAGTGTCATTCATCCTTCAGAGTGCTACCTGAGGCAGAGTGCCAAGAAGGAAATACATCTTGGTCAAAATGACTGAGGAAATCATGAGTGATACCTCATAGAAACCCCAAAGGTCAGATAGAATGGTTGCTCAGGAGATTTGAAACTGCCTGAAGCTCTTGAGATGTGACAGAAGGTCTTGGCTTAGGGTGGGATTCAGGAAGCAGAGGATTAAAGAGTTGTTCAGGACACTAAATCCCTAAGCATTATTAGCTCATAAGTTCTCAGAGAATCCTCAGAGCATCTTAGATCAGCCAGGCAAAGGGCAAGTCGAGCTGTCTATTGTAGAAAAATAACTGAACATTGCTGCTGTACACAGCAACAAAGAATTGTTGACAAATCCATTAATTACATTACTTTAGCATCAACTAACAACTGGACTTGTTCTGTCATGGTAGCTACATGTAAGTAAAACTATATAGACCTCAAAAGCGTTTCAAAGGACTTGCTACCAGAGAGGTGAACATGACACAATGTTTGCCAGTGACTGAAGACTAATCAAGCAGCAGTTTAAGCAATAATCCTTGTTAAGTGATAGCAAAAAGGCAAACTATACAGCTGCTAACTGGGTTTTCCTGCTAAGCAGATTAGTTTGGATTTTGTTTTCAATAGTAATAGTCAGATATCATGCATTTTTGCTTGAAGATACAGCGTGTTTGAATCTACTGGGTAATAACTGCCTTGTCTGTTGCTAGGATCTTTAGTGTCTCAGGGGCTTCTGGACAGTAAACAGCACTTAGCACTACTTCCTTTTAATGTTCAGTTTATTAAGCTTTTACACCTATTAAGCACATTTTTCCAAATATTTAAACACTATTATGCAACTAATAAATCAAACTACACATTTCATAAACCAATTTTCTTGAATACTTAAATGCTGATTTCCTTAGTCAAGGTCTTTTAGGCATTTCAGTAAAGTTACAAGGCCAATATGATAACTTCTCTTAAATTAAAAACACAAACTAGTATCACAGTGACTAAACATCACTGTGTTACTACAACCCGCATTTAAATCTAGTTCAAAATATCAACCCTATGGTATTTTCAATTTCAAAGCCATGTGTTACAGATTGAATTGTGTCCCCCCAAAATGTGTGTAAACCTGGCTAGGCCACGATTTCTGGTATTGTGTGATGGTCCACCATTTTGTCATCTGATGTGATTTTCCTAAGTGTTGTAAATCCTACCTCTATGATGTTAATGAGGCAGGATTAGAGGCAGTTATGTTAATGAGGCAGGACTCAGTCTACAAGATTAGGTTGTATCTTGCGTCAATCTCTTTTGAAATATCAAAGAGAGAAGCAAGCAGAGAGACAGGGCATGTCATTATCACCAAGCAAGAAGAGCCAAGAGCGTGCATCCTTTGGACCTGGGGTTCTTACGCTGAGAAGCTCCTTGACCAGGGGAAGACTGACGACAAGGACTTTCCCCCAGAGCCAAAAGAGAGAGAAACCCTTCCCCTGGAGCTGGCACCCTGAATTTGGACTTCTAGCCCCCTAGACTGTGAGAGAATAAATTACTCTTTATTAAAGCCATCCACTTGTGGTAGTTCTGTTACCGCACCACTAGATAACTAAGACACCATGGTATTTTCAGTTGCCTCACATGCATGCGAAAGCTGGACAATGAGTAAGGAAGACCCAAGAAGAATTGATGCCTTTGAAATATGATGTTAGCGAAGAATATTGAATATACCATGCAGTGCCAGAAGAACGACCAAATCTGTCTTGGAAGAAGTACAGCCAGAATGCTTCTTAGAAGCAAGGATGGTGAGAATTCATCTCACATACTTTGGACATGTTATCAGGAGGGACCAGTCCCTGGAGAAGGACATCATGCTTGGTAAAGCAGAGGGTCAGTGAAAAAGAGGAAGACCCTCAACGAGATGGACTGACACAGTGGCTACAACAATGTGCTCGAGCATAGTAATGATTGTGAGGATGGCACAGGACCAGGCAGTGTTTTGTTCTGTTGTCCATGGGGTCACTATGAGTGGGAACCGACCCAATGGCACCTAACAACAACAGTGGGTTTCATTTAATTCTCTAAACTTAATGCTTTTCCTTGCTAGAGTGACAACAATCTTATTAGAGGCAAAAGTAAAAGAGGTTGTAGGTTCTAGGTCATAGATTGAGAGATTCTTGGCTGGAGCATGGTTTTCCCAGGGGGACAGAACTCAATCTGGTGTTGGTTGAACTGTGTCCCTTCTCATGGTCCAAGTTGACTTGGTACCCTCAAGGGCCTCTTCAGGTTCATACCTTTTCTTATACTTTCCTGTGTCACGCACGCCCAAGTTCAGTCTCAGGAGGATCTTCCTCAGATCACTGGTTACTTCATAACACCTTATTAGCATTTCATTATAATCAAGGGAAAATACAGGTTTATCTCCTAGGAGAAAGAAGTTGAGTTGGCTAAGTCATCTCTCTTGTTGGACCACTTTGCTTTTCCATCATCATCTTGTAACAGTTTTGGACATTCTGTCTACCTTATTATTTTGTGTGTCCATAGTGCAGTTCCTAATTCTTCCAAAAGTCTGTGGTATACTCACAATTCCCTGATTCCATTCTTCTATTCTAAACACAGAGAGAAACACACATCTATATTATATAGATACATACTTAGTAGAAAAACCCAAACATCCATATATGTTAACACTTTCCTACTTGTAAAAATGAAAATGAATTAAAAAGCAGATCATATTCCATTACAGTCAGCATTCTTTTGTTTTTATAACTACTTGTTGTACATTCATTTGCTCATTTTTTTTCAACAGATGTATATTGATTGTCCATTGTAGGAAAGGCACTATACTAGTTACTGTGGTAGAGACTTGTCCTCTGATTCTCCTCTCCTTCCAGTTATTTGGTAGGATTATACTTCTCTGCCTACCCGCTCTGGCCAATGGATTGTAGGCAGTTGGATTCCATATTATTCTCAACTAAATTGATGAAATTGACTGATGGTTTGAAACCACTGAAAAACTTCACTGAAAAGATTAGTTTGACTGTTCGTACCTGAAAACATTGGCCAACTAGCCTTTTCATTTTTCAACCATTTTGGCATCTTGCAAACACAGTCTGAAGATAAATATCATCCTGTTTCCTTGCTTCTCATTTTTCTTGGCCTTTCTATTGGGAGGTGGATGCAAATGTCTGTTTGTACAAAATGAAGCTGATTGGGCATACTTAATATTTATGAAGATAAATACACAAATTTCTTGCATTAGCTCTTCTTTCAATTATGGTAAAACGTTTTTCAATATTTTCTAGGAGTTAGTGACTTGTTTGCTGCTGTATTAGCTGAAGCAACACTAACTTCTGTTAACACGTATCCCACAAATCTCAGTAGCTTAAGCCAATGAAAGTTTATTTCTCACCACGTGGCTGCCAAAGTTGCTCTGGATATGAACATCCAGCTAGCAGATGGGGGAAGAGAGAGAGCATAGAGGATTTGACACGTAGCTTTTATTAGCCTTGTCTGGAAGTACAAACAGCACTTTTGTCCGTGTTCTATTGGCCAGAACTTTGGCACGTGACCTTAGAAAGCTGCAAAGGGGACCTCGCAGTCTGTCAGGGCAGCCTCTTCCCAAGAAAGGTTTTACACTATGGAAGGAAGTCCAAATTTTTTGGTGGGAGTATAGCTAGCCACGTCTGGTACAACCGCTACATCCTGAGAAATTCTTTCTTAGAAAGGGTGAACCCTAATCAGGTCTTTTTAAATGCATGTTTTATGAAGATACATAATAGTTAATTTCAGTAAAAGAAATTAACATCTATTGATTGAGCACCTACTATGAGCAAGTCTCTTGGTAAATCCTGTGGAAAAGGTTGGGGAGGGGGGAGTATGTGAATACCAAAATGAATGAAACATGATCAGTCTCTCCATGAAGTACGGAAAGGAAATGAACTTTTGTGTACATTATATGCAATCCATAAGATGTAATCTAAAGCATAATTTTACTTAAGGAAAAAAAAGAAAAATTTTGTAAAGAAAATATTTGTTTTGTTTTCTGATTAAACATTGTTACTATAGAAAATTTGGAAAATATGTAAAAGTACAAAGGAAAAAAAACTTAAATGCTCATAATCTCACCACACAGAGGCAATCACAGTGGGTCTTTTTCCTTCTCATATTATATATATGTGCATATTTGAAAAATTATTTCATGGGGATTAATTTCAAAGTATTCTACGCACCAAAGTTAAAAACATCAGTTGACCTGTATTCACGTATTTGTGATCATGAAGAAATCCGAGAGAGAATGCCAAAATAAACTGTTTTTCTTTGCTGGTATCTGGAACACCGAAGGTCATGATTCATCATTGAGAGAGAGAGAGAGGAGTGGTTAAGCCAACTTTAAACGCCTAACAAATAAATGAAAGCATGTTGCTGCAACAGCAACCATCATAAAAACAGATTGAATGTTCATTCAACAGATGATGTGTGCAAGGACCACCAGAATGTGTTCTAGGATAAGTGATTGGAGGCACTAGTGATATTAGGAGAATTTTTCTGGCAGTAATAACTGTCCAAAGGCAACTGGGCTGAGCCAGGTGCTCTCAATCACTGGAGGTGTCGGAGCAGAAGCTGGAAGACTACTCATCTGGAATGTCCAGGAGGGGATCCAAGTACTGGGTAGGAAATAGAGATGTCCTAAAGTCCTTTTCCATCCAAGGCGGACAGATACATACCACACATACGGCCACACACATGGGCACTGTGGTACAGGCTCTCAGAGCAGAACTATTTGAGCTGTTTGGGATTATATATTCTGTGTAAAACTGGCCCAACCAGCAGATCTCCAGGTTCACTTTCCTAGCTCTGGGGCAGTAAAGAGTTAAATGCACCTTTGATGGTGCTCCAGAGACAGCTGAGATTCAAATTGGGAGAAGGGACAGGGGAGGTGGAAAGTGGAGGCAGACAACTAGTCAGGCAGATATCCAAAAATTATAGGAAGGTGAATGAAGCCACAGGTGTCTTTTCAGAAGGCTCAGAAATAGCCCCAATACCCTGTAAAGGGATGGTTCTGAGGACCAATCAACTCTTTATTCCTGTCTGGCAACCACCCTTCTCTTCCCCACCCCCTCTTATCACAGGCCTGGCTGCATCGGAAATTGTCCAAATTCATCTCGGTCCTTTCCAATTTGGAGTCCTTAGGTCTACTCTGACACCCCATGGGATTGCCATGAGTTGATGGCAACTGGCTTGGTTTTCTTTCCAACCGAAGCCATGGAAACATAAGATTGTATGGAAGGAATCTCAAGAAAAGATATTTATCTACCATGTAACTAAGTCTCATTCAGTCAAAAGCTGCATCTTCGACTACTTTGTTCAGGCTCTTTGAACTCTTTTAACTTTGAATGGAAAGAGAAAAACATATGTGGGCCAGTAAACCGTGGCTTCACCTACGCAAAATACCTCAACTCAGTGTTTTGACTTAACTGACCATTGATGTTTTAGAATTATGTTAGCCTCCCTCCTTTGACCAGTCTTCAGCCAACTCACCTTGGCTGTTTGCAAACAAAACAACATTCCAATAGGGCTTTGAAATAAAATTGCCTTATAAACAATTGGTAGGTGTGTTTCCAAGTGGTTTGAGGAAAGTGCCCCAGAGTAAGTAGGTGACCACCGAGGCTGCTAAAGTATTTCCTGTCCCGATCAGGGTTGTGTTTCTGGAGAATATTTAACAGAGAAGGTTTTAACGTTTCTAAAGATGTTGAAACTAAAGAACAAATATTGACCTAGAGAGCACCACAGCTCTCCTGAAAGAGGGGAAAATACATTCTTTATATAATGAAAAACCACTTGGCAGAAATATTCCAAAAACCCTGCATAATTCACCCTCAGAAGTTGGAGGGGCCAATTTGGCACCACCAGGGACTCGGGCGCTAACGCCGCAGGCAGTATTGTAGGTCCCTAGCTCTGTGCGTCCACGATCTTCCCGCCAGGTCAACTCGAGCCTCCAGCTAGAGCAACAGGGCCCCGAGGCCAAGCCATGCCGCAGCTGGCGGTCGCTGGCACAACTGCTGGATAACTCAGCCAGGGCTTGGCCCTGCGACTCGTCGCCGCTGGTGAGTTACGGCCCTGCCGAGGCCACCCCGCGCGGCAGCTCCCCCAAGCACTGGAGGTGAGACTTTTCAAGAGGCCCTCCCTGCTCGAGGGGCGGCGGTGAGTCAGAGCGCCCCCTCCCCGGCGCCTCCCCCATCGGTCTTTCACCCCGCGCATTACGAAAGAGCCCACCCCCGAAGCTATAAAGCAGCCAGGCGGTGCGGGCGGCGCGCTCGCTTCTTCCTGCTCCACGCGCGCCGGGACGTGGCGGCCAGGTTAGCTCGTCGCCAGGTGGTGAGAACCGGCTGGGCAGTCCCCTGGGGCGGCGGCGGCGGGGCGGGATGGGGACAGCAGCGGTCCGGTGGTCCGGCTACCAGGCGTTCACGGCCGCCCGTTTCCCACAGGGCAGTCTGCTGGGCAGGATGGAGTGGATGTGGGCGCTTGTGCTGCTGGCGGCGCTCGGCAGCGCCCGGGCGGAGCGCGACTGTCGCGTGAGCAGCTTCCGAGTAAAGGAGAATTTCGACAAGGCGCGCGTAGGTATCTGTCCCAGTGGCCCCGGAAACTCGTCTTCCCCCGGCCCCCTCGGCTGTGCACCCCCTGGACACCAAATCCTTGCTCTCGTCTCTTGCGCAGTTCGCCGGCATCTGGTACGCCATGGCTAAGAAGGACCCTGAAGGCCTCTTTCTACAGGATAACATCGTCACCGAGTTCTCCGTGGACTCGAGCGGCCGGATGAACGCCGTGGCCAAGGGCCGAGTACGCCTTTTGAAGTCAGTGGCCTCAGGGGGGCTGCACACTTTGCACTCCAAATCCCCTGGTCCCTGACTGACTGAGCGCCAAACCCTGGCTGGGGAGGGAAGGGAGCGCCGGGTGTTGGGGGGAGTGGGATGAGGGGAACCTCGTCTGGCTCAGGACTGCCTTGGGTTTTGCAGCAACTGGGACACGTGCGCAGACATGGTGGGCACCTTTACAGACACTGAGGACCCTGCCAAGTTCAAGATGAAGTACTGGGGCTTAGCGTCCTTTCTCCAAAAAGGAAGTGAGTAGTCACCTCAGTGAGACCGTCTTGGGGGATGGGGAGCCTGCCTGGCCAAATCCCTGGGTTTCTTCTTCTGGGGCGTCCTTGAGAACAATTGCCAGCCAAGAGGTATGTAAGTGGCCGGAAAGCGTAGCACCGCCCCTGGTTAGGCGGATGGGATCGGTGGTAGCTAGGCAATGTGGGAGTCCCGGTGGCTCAGTGGTTAAGAGCTCGGCTGCTAACCAAAAGGTCAGCAGTTAGATCCACCAGCCGCTCCTTGGAAACCGTATGGGGCAGTCCTACTCTGTCCTGTAGGGCCGCTGTGAGTTAGAATCGACTCAATGACAACGAGTTTGGTTTTTTTGTGAACTCAGGAACCCTGGTCCAAGTTTGAAAGGACCTTTGGGCTTCTTAGGTAGCCTCCTCTAAGAAGGCATTTTCCCCTTCCACTACTGTGCCAGGGTGCTCTCCCACTTCTCCCAAACCAGTTCACATCACCACCCAACCTGGTTTTGCCGTTTGTGGATGTGTTTGGGCTGACGGCTGGACACTCTCATCCAAGGCTGTAGGGAGCATTGTGCACAGGCTTGGCTCACTCCCAGGCTGCTGGTGCTGAGATTCTGAGCTAAGCACAGTGTTCCACGTGGCAGTGACCTTTTCCCCTTCTCCCAAAAACCAAAACTAGATGGAGTGAGGGGAGGCTGTGAGGACACTCAGAAGAGAATCCTAAAACTTAGCCTGCTCATGAGAACACAACTTTTACATGCGTTTCAATCTGTTCTCCCGTTTCTCCAGTTTCATATCTGGAGTCTACTTGGTAGCCAGAGAATAATGCAGGCCAGGGGGGACATCATGGAATCTTAGAGATGCAGAGCTAATCCTGTGAAGGAGATTCTATGTACAGATGACTAAACGAGGCCACGAGAAGGCAGTGGTTTGCCCAAGGGCATGCCACATGTTTGTGAGAGCCAGTGTCAAGTCAGGGGACCCAACATCCCAGCCAAGATTAGGTGGCCCCGAACAGCAGAGAAGGGACTCTTGACACAGGCCAACATTTCGCAAAGTGTTGCTTGAACTCTTCTGTGAAATAGGACCTAGGGGGCTATTCGGGGTGACTCTCTTAGCTTGGTGACCCAGGGCAAAATGTCCTTTTTGCAACCCATTGCTGTACACGTGTCACACACTCAACAGCATCCTCTGTGGTTGTTTGTGAGATGAAATTGTGTATTTATCTAATTGCATTTTCAGTATTGATTTACAGTGTAAAGGTAGAGTTGCTATACTACAAGGGAAAAAATGCTTTTATCCTTAGAATTATTTCAAATCATTCAGCCGAACTTTCTAAAATCATTTATTTAGAGAAAAATAAGAATTTTTTGATAATGAAATAAGTTAACAACAGGGAACAAGATAACTAATTTTTAGAAAGCGTAAATGCATAGCGCTCTTAAACATTTTGAGATGTGCCTTAAAAGACTAGGCCTTTGGCAATGCCTTTCAGGCCAAGGTGGGGGAGGACCCATTGAGGAGGTAGGGTTTTGCCTCTTTCTTCCTCCTTCACCCACCAAACCAGATCAGTTCTGCTTTTACCTCTTGTGTATTGGGATTCTAGGTAGGATTTCATCTGGGGGGAGAAAAGTACTGAAAGCAATTGGCTGTAGATATTAAGTGAAATAACTATGATATGGCAGGCTTAGGTTACCTTTTAGAAAAGAAATTGTGCAGTGTAGTGGTTAAACACGCAAAGTTAAAGTTCTACTGCCTCTGTTCAAATCCTAACTCAACCACTACCTGTGAGACCTTGGGATGTTCCTTAGCCTCTTTGTGCCTCAGTTTCCTCATCTGCAAAGCGGAGGTGATCGTAGCACCAACCTCATGGAGTTGTGTTATGAGGATGCAGAAACATGCAGAAAACACTTAAAATAATGCCTGAAACATAAGTTCTCTGTTTAAGTGTTCGATATTTTTGTATGTTACTTCCCCTTTCATGAAATAATAGCTTTATATTCTAGGTTGGGGATGGGAGAACCCACAGAGACCATCTGGTTCAATTCTCTCATTTTACAAGTAAAGAAACTGAGGCCCACATTAAAGAAGTGACTAGCTTATGGGCACATTAGCTAATTAGTGACGCTTAATGATAGCTCTGGGGTCCCTGGGTGGTGCAAACGGTTAATGTGCTCGGCTGCTAACTGAAAGATTTGTGGTTCCAGTTTACCTAGAGGTCCCTCAGAAGAAAGGCTTGGTGATCTCCTTCGAAAAATCAGCCTTTGAAAACCCTGTGGAGCACAGTTCTACTCTGACACACATGGGGTCACCATGGGTCAGAATTGACTCAACTGGTTTGGTTCCTTGGTTTTTAGTGACAGCACTTAGCCCAGGGGATATAAAAGGTTATTAACTGACCCTCTGTTTTCCAAGTATCCCACAAACTGTATGACTTGGTGAGTCTACCTTTCTGTGTTTAAATGCTTATTTTTAGAACTTTTATGAAGTCCACTTTCATTCTTTGTACTGATTTATTTCTCCCTTGACCTCAGTTTTACATTTAACACTGACCTGAGATCACGTTTTCTGGATCTCTCCCCTTCTACACAGACTGCATCTCACCAATGACTATGTTTAAAACACACTTATGTAGGGGATGTAGTTCGGGACCAAATGCCCATATTACGTTTATTTTTGTTTATTTTTTACAATCATATTTTATTGAATTTTTGGTGACAGTTTATACAGCAAGTTAGGTTCCCGTTGGGCAGTTTCTGCACCAATTGTTCCGTGAGGTTAGTTACGTTTGTCACGGTGTGTCGGCATCCTCTTTATTTGTGTTCTGTTTGTTCCATTTCCAGCACTCTCGTTTCCCTGCCCCCTTCTCATTTTGCTTTTGAGTAATTGTTGACCTTTTGATCTCATACTGATGGTTATTAAGTAGGGTACCCATCTTACAGGTAATATTTTTTATTTTGTGTGCCACTCTGCTATTTCACAAAAGGTGATTTCAAGGCATAGGCTTGGTTCTAGGTTTACAGCGTATCTCAGAGTGATAGCCTCAGGGAATCCTCTCTTCTCTACTGTTCCAGTTTGTCTGGCTTATTTTCATTTTAAGAATTTGAGTTCTGCTCCACAGTTTCTCCCATTCTATCTGGGACTATCTGTTGTGACCCCGGTCAGAACAGTCAGTAGTGGTAGTCTGAAACCACCTAGTTCTTCTGATCTCAGGGTAGATGAAGTTGGGGATTGTATAGGCTTGTTTCTTCTCTGAGCTTTCGGTTACCTGCTGACTGTTTTGCTCCTGGCAAATAGAGACGTGTAGTTGTGTCTTAGATGGCCACTCCCAAGCTGTTAAGACCCCACATGCTACTCACTTCACTAGGATGCCAATCATGATTTTTGTGAACTATTTATTATGCCAGTTGACTGAGCTGTTTCATGAGACTATGGTCCTAAGCTTTCAAACCCAGAAAACCAATCTTGGAAGGTGTTTAGCTGTGTCTGAGGAGTATCTGTATTTGTGTCTTCAATGAATATATGCGCCTGCACCCACATATTTGTATTTACACATTGCTATAGATACTTGGAGTCCTGGTGGTGCAGTGGTTAAGTGTTTGGCTGCTAACCAAAAGCTTGGCTGTTTGATTCCACCAGCTGCTCCTTGGAAACCCTACGGGCAGTTCTACTCTGGCGTATAGGGTCACTGTGAGTCAGAATCAACTCGACAGCAATGAGTTTTTTGGTTATAGATACTTCTATCTGTTTGTGCCTATGTACACACCTGTACCTGCCCATATACCAGTGTGCCTATACCCATGTGCTCAAACACTTATTTGTACTCTGGTTGTGCTGTGCTCACTACATCCACATTCAGTGCCACTTTTCCCATCACGAAAAATAACAAGTCTCTATGATCTAAAGCACACTTTCCCCTCCCCCTCTTTTCTCCCTGGTAACCACCAGTGAACATTAGTCTCTCTGCATATATCTGTTCTTCTTATAAAAGAGGAATCATACAATATTTGTCCTTATATACTTCACTTAGCATTATGCCCTCAGGTTCATCTACATTATAATATGTTTTGCGGACTCATCATTGTTCTTTATGGTTGTGTAGTATTCAGGTGTCTGTATGTACCACAGTTTGCTTATCCATTTATCTGTTGATGGGCGTTTTGCTTGTTTTCATTTATTTGCTATTGTGAATAAAGCAGCAATGAACATAGGTGTGCATATGTCTGTTCGTGTCATTATTGTTAGGTCTCTCGGGTATGTACCTATGAGTGGGATTGCTAGATCATAGGGTAATTCTATTTCTAGTTTTTTGAGAAAGTGCCATACTGTTTTCCAAAGTGGTTGTTCCATTTTACAGTCCCACTAGCAATGGATAAGTGTTCCAATCTCCCCACATCGTTGCTGACATTTGTTGTTACCTTTTTTATCAGTTCCATTTTAGCCAGGGTAAGATGGTATCTCTTTGTAGTTTTGATTTGCATCTCTCTAATGGCTAATGGGAAACCCTGATGGCATAGTGGTTAAGAGTGTGACTGCTAACCAAAAGGTGAGTAGTTTGAATCCACCAGGTGCTCCTTGGAAACCCTATGGGGCAGTTATACTCTGTCCTATAGGGTCACTATGAGTCGGAATTGACTCTACTGCAACAGGTTTGGGTTTTTTTGGTTTTAATGGCTAATGATCATGAACATCTTTGCATATGTTTGTTGTTTGCTTGGATGTCCTCTTGGGTGAAGGTTCTGTTCATGTCCTTTGCCTGTTCTAGTGATTGGTTTGTTTGTCTTTTTGTTGTTGAGTTTTTGCAGTTTTCTATAGATTTTAGAGATTAGACCCTTAATGGATAGGTTGTTTCTGAAAATTTTTTCCCAGTCTGTATTTTGTCTGTTTACTCTTTTGATAAAGTCTTCTGATGAGCATAAGTTTTTAACTTTTATGAGGTCCCTTTATCTATTTCATCGTCTTCTACCCTGCATTTGTTATTATGTTTATTATCTTATTTTTTAAAAAAGATTCGG